CCAGGCGCCCCTAAGAGCCTTCTCCTTGACTGTGGGAAGCTGAAATTCACTCGCCCGTGCTTTCCCCTCTCCTCAAACTCTGCCCCTTTCCATCTAGGAACTCAGAGGAATTGAACAAAGGTTTTGAACTGAGACTTTATAGAAAGGTGCAAGTCGTTGCTTCAACACACCCAAAGGTACTCCCTCCTCACAGAAAAATTGCAAATCACAACTCTGAGGTACCGTTTCCCCTATCTCTGTTTTCCCCTATCAGACTGGTAAAACTTCAAAAGTGTGGGGCACCTGGGTGGCTCAGATGGTTAAGCGTCTGCCTTTGGCTCAGGTCATGATCCCAGGGTCCTGGGATCGAGTCCCGCATCGGGCTTTCTGCTCCACGGGGAGCCTGCTTCTCCCTCTGCCTCTGTCTCTCATGGATAAATAAATAAAATCTTTAAAAAAAAAAAAGATATTTAAGAGTGAGAAAAAGTGGAAGGGGATGGCTTTCTGGGCAAAAGGAGTGGCACGGGCAAATGAAAACTTCAGAAGCGAGGTGGGCTGGGTGGTGAGGAGGCCTAGACCAGAAAGACAGAAGGATGGGAGAGGATAGTGATAGTGAGGGCGGTAGGGCAGAACCACGCAGGCCTCAACCGCCAGGCTGAAGTCCTGGGGGGCAATGGGGAGCCACGGAGGGTGTGTGAGCAGGGGAGGGGCACAGTCCCATTCGTAAGTTATAATGATCCCTCTGGGGCTAGTGTGGGCTGCCCTGGGGGCTGAGCCTGGGTACCAAGTGCCTGGGAACAGGGCCTGAGAGTGACAGAGTGGGGAACAATTTGGGAGTCTCAGAGAATCTGGTCTGGGGAGCTTAGGGAATCCCCACCTCAAGGAACCCACTTGCCCTGGAGCCAGCAGCATTTATTAAGCACCGCCTGCACACCGACGGGAGGGTGATGACAGCGTTCACAAACTGACCCTCCTGTCCCCATGTCAGGGCCTCTCCTCTTCCCCCTTGCAGCAGCTGAGGGAGCTGAGAAGCAGAGCGGGGGCTGGAGAGGGAGCTGAAGAGCCTCCCAGGGCCTCAGGGATGATCCTTCCTTGTCCCCATTCCTCAGGTGGGAAGACTGAGGCCAGGGAAGAGCCAGAATGCCCCAAGTAAGTAGAAGGCAGCAGGCTGGAGTTCAGGGCATCAAAGGCTCAGTGCCCGGGGATCACGTACTCCTCTTCGTCAAGTGGGGTCTGGTGCATTGACCGCAGGTTGCCGTAGACAGGCTGGGAGGCATGGTCGGGGCCCTCGTAGTTCATGTAGAAGTCGCTGTTCTCTGATGGGTGAGCCCTGTGGAGACAGAGAGACGAGAGGGGAGGGAGCACTCAGGGGGTAGGCACGTCAGCTTGGAGAGGCAAGGAAAGTTCTGGGCGCCTGCGTCCCCTCCTAGTGTTTACATACGAGGAAACTGAGGCACAGGGCCGTGTTCTCCCAGCCGCCCAACTTTCTCTGAGGCAAGGAGGTGGGGGCCAGGGATTCAGGGAAGATTCCATGGATTTCGCATTGTAACGCTTCTGTCCAAGGACCTCAAGCCCATGGTCAAATTGTTTTCTTCCTTAAAGTTGAGGTAATTGCTCATTTTTTACATTAAAGTCTAGACTTCAATTTTTTTAAATTTTAAATCTAGACTAATTTTTTCAGTTTCCTCTTGAAAAATCAGAAGTTCTAGTGGCACTAGCCACATGGACACAAGTGGCCAGAGCCAAACCAGTGCCCTTTCAGCTGGGAAATGTTTTTACTAAATTCTCTGAAGCAACAGACTTTGTGGCCTCAATACAGAAATAAATTTCTGAGTCTCAGTTTCTGCATCCATAGAATTGGTCTGGGAGGAGATAGCTTCTCAGCGATGTCTAGCTATGTATGGTGGGCAAGACCCCCCCACTCCCCCCCCGCCCCGAAGAACTCTCCTGCCTCTGGAGCATTCTAACCCTACTCTGGTTTGAGCAAGTGGTGTCCATCAGTTATTCATGCTTTAGAATGAATCACTCCAAACACATAAATGCTTGTCTAGGGATAGACAGGACTGGGAGTCAGACTCTGCTTTCAGACTCACTGTGTGACCTTGGGCAAGTCACTCCCCTGCCTCCCAGAGCCTCCGTTTGTACAAGTGAAATGTAGGGTGGGAATGACAGATCGCATTCGAAACAATGTTTCTGGAGGAGACTGATCCTGAGGCTTTGGTGACAGCGAGACCGAGGTGAGCCTCACAGCACAAGCTGCCTTAGGGAGTCGAATGCCTGCAACCCCCTCCTGCAGGCCACTTCTGCTTTGGAGCCCTATTTGCATCTGCTTTGCATATTCTCTCATTTCTCACCCACAGCTTCCCACCAGCCTCCCCACTTTGTGGATTCCCCTGCCCACACCGATCCATGACCCTGTTCCATTCCTGCTTGGATTCTCCCAGCCACCTCCAGCCTCAGCTCTGATGTCTTGCCTTCTCAAACCAATTCACAGAAGATTCTCCATTCTCTCCCACCTCTAGGCCTTTGCCCCTGCTGGGGCTGCCCCCTCCAATTCCTTTCATTCCCTCATCCAACCTGGAAAAGTTGAACCCATCCATCTAAGTCCAGCCAAATCTAGGGGTGTCAGGGCTTTGTCGGGGAGAGAAGGACACAGTTTTCTGAACATCTCATGTGTCAAAGGGACATGTGGAAAGGGGAGCTGTCCCCATCTTACAGAAACTGAAACAGAGGCTCAGAGATAGCCCTGGGTCACACAGGATCTGAGCCAGGCCACCGACTACTTCTGCAAAGCCCCTATTCTGCCTGGAACACTTGCTTCCTCTCTTCCCATCCTTGGCCACCAGAAACTCAGTTTGCAGGTCACGAAGGAGGAAATTTGTCTCATATACAGGAACTCACTTAATTCTTACCCCAACTCTACGAGGTAGGGGCTGTTATCTCCATTTTACAGATGAGAAAACAGAGGCCCTGAGGTAAATCGACTGGCCCAAGATCACACAGCCTACGAGAGGTGGTGCAGGGATTAGAAACCCGGCCATCTGGCTCCAGAGTCTTGCAGGCAGGCGTGAATCACTCACCCATGTTCGGCCCACTGGTGCCCGGCAGCTGGCTGGCCCACGAACACATTCTCATAGTCGGGGGTGGAGGGTCTGGGCATGGCAGCCGCTGGGGGCTTAGAGCTGAGGCCCCGGCTACTGTATCTCGGCTGCTTGCCGGAGCCAGACCGAGAACCATCCTGAGCAGCCCCTGTTTTGTCCAGGTCCCAGTTACCCACCCTCCAGCGTCCCCGGAGTCTCCAGGCCAGCACTAGGCCAGCAATGGTGAGCCCCAGGATCAGGCTGCCACTGGCCACCAGTGCCCCGATGGTCATCAAGGACAGGCCAGGGGAGCAGCCAGCCTCCAGGAAGGCGGAGACATTGCGCCAGGCACCAGTAGTTGGGTCTCGGCACTTGAGAGGTGGCTGGCCGGAGCAGTTGTCCTGTCGGACCAGGTGCCAGGGTTTTAGGACACAGATGCAGTCAGCCTTCAGGTCAAGTTTACAGCTCATGGCCAGCTCCCTGTCCACGCAGGTCAGTGGGTTGTTTGTCACATCTAGGTCCTCCAGCTTTCCCAGGAGTTTAAAGAAGAGCAGTGGTAGCTTTTGAAGACTATTCCCAGACAGGTTAAGGTAGCGCAGGTTCCCGGCCTGCAGAGACTGGTTCTGGGGCAGTCGGAGGAGGCCTTGGCCACTGAAATTCAGGCATATGGCTGTGAACTCTGTGTCCCAGTCCACGATCCCGGAGGACACGTTGCAGGAAAAGACTTGGCTGCCTGGATCCTGCAGCAGCAGTGGCAACAACAGCATCCACGCCAGGGAGCCCCCCATTCAAGCAACCTGGGCAGAGACACCAGAATCCAAGCCCCGACTTTAGCCTGTGATCACCTCACCCTCACTGCTTGTGTTGTATCATCATCATCATCATCATCATCATCATCATCATCACCATCATCTCAGAGTGGCCCAGGCTGCTTCTGAAATGGTAAAGCGCAGGCCCTCGCTTGCCGCCCCTCTGGATGGCTCTGGCTTCTGGCCTCAGCCTCCCGCTCTGGGGATTGGGTACCTAAGTAATCCCGGTGCCTGACGGTCCTGGAAGGCGAGGAGGAGACCCGGCCCAGTCGGCCCCTCCCCTTCTCCCAGTGGAGCCCCTTCGGGTTAAGTCGCCCATTCCCCCCCCAACCCCACCGTCCACCCCCCCACCACGAATATTTTGGGCGCCCTCATTGGCCAAGATGGGACCATATGCAAAATAAGCGGTTGCCCCGGAAACGGCCTGCCCCGGGCGCGGCTAATTGTTTCTCGCAGAACTGCGGGGTGCTGGGAGTCTTGGGCTGGGGTCGGATGGGGCTGCTGTAAGGAACCCCCTCCAGTCTGGCTTGAGGCTCTTTCCCGGACCCAAGTTCTAGCGCTTCCGTCCTATCTTTCTGGTCCCACCGCCACGCTTTTGCCTCGGCGGGGTGGAAGGTTCTGGCGCGGGAGGGGCTGCGTGGTGGCTCACCTGGACGTGGGGGCCGAAGTAGTCAGCACCCTCCGCGGATCCGCTGTGGTCCGGGGCGCTCCTCAGGATCTGCACCCAGCGACTCGGGAAGAGGAACTGGTGTCCGGGTGCAATGCTGAGGGGAAGAATAAAGACACAGAGACCCGCCCCCCTGCAAGGCCTCAGGCCCAGGATTCCCACCGGAGGGGGAGGGGCGACCTGCTTCTCTTTTGCTGGAACCCAGTGACTACATGTCCCCCATTAATACCCTAACTGACCGACTGCTACCTCATCAACTCCCTTCCTGGTGTCAGCTCGGTTGACGCCCAACCCACGTGTTCACTTGTTCATTCAACAATCACCCATGCTGAACTTCCAAAAGGCCTCAGTATGGCCAGGTTCTGGTGAAGCACCCAGTCTTCGGAGAGGACAGAGCTGGACACAGACAGACCCAGTCCAGTGGAGTCAGGTCAGGTCAGAGAGAGGGACAGAATCTTGGAAGGCTTCCTGGAGGAGGAAGCATTAGACTTGGGCCTTCCACACATGAGTAGGGTTTTGCCAAGGATTCCTAAAGCCTGCCTTTGACTCTCCAACCTGCTGGCCTTCCCCACAGACTCAGAGCTCCTGCTCTGGTACAGCGATGCCTCCATGCTGGAAGGGGCTGTGAGGAGGGTTCCCTGGGGAAGGAGACGTTGAGTCTGGGGCTTGGAGGATGAGTCACAGTAGCTGGCAGAAACAAATGCGTGGCAGATTTCAGGCAGAAGTCACAATAGGAGCAGATGCCCTGCAGCTTGAGAAAGCATGGCTGGCTGGGACAGTGTGTTTAGGAGTGGAGTGGTTGGAGTGGACAGGCTGAGAGGAGAAACTGGTGGTGTGGGCACGGGGTGAGCAGTCCTGGCCTCAGACACCAGGCTGAGGAGTGGGACATTATTCCCAGGGCCATGGGGAGCCAAGGAATATGTGTGAGCAGTGGAGGGGTACTGTGTTAAAAGATTCCTCCAGAGTGAGCCTGGTGTCTGGAGATGGGGAACCTGGGGAGGAGGCCAGAGTTCCAGAGGAGGAGGGGGGCTTGAGTCAGACCCAAAGGGTAGTAACAAAAGTAGGTTAAGGAGGAGATTAAGGGCTAGGGGAGTGTCTCAGCCTCACCGGGGTCCTGGCATCAGGCAGACCAGGCTCAAATCCATTCCGGACACTGACTCACGGTGCAACTTTAACCACTCTGTGCCTCAGTTTCCACATCTGTAAAATGGGATAAATGCTAAGAGCCCTCTCCTTTTTTTTTTTTTTTAAAGATTTTTATTTATTTATTTGACAGAGAGATAGAGAGCGAGCACAAGTAGGCAGAGCGGCAGGCAGAGGGAGAGGAAGAAGCAGGCCCTCCGCCGAGCAGGGAGCCCGATGCGGGGCTCCATCCCAGGACCCTGGGATCATGACCTGAGCCGAAAGCAGCCGCTTAACCGACTGAGCCAGCCAGGCGCCCCTAAGAGCCTTCTCCTTGACTGTGGGAAGCTGAAATTCACTCGCCCGTGCTTTCCCCTCTCCTCAAACTCTGCCCCTTTCCATCTAGGAACTCAGAGGAATTGAACAAAGGTTTTGAACTGAGACTTTATAGAAAGGTGCAAGTCGTTGCTTCAACACACCCAAAGGTACTCCCTCCTCACAGAAAAATTGCAAATCACAACTCTGAGGTACCGTTTCCCCTATCTCTGTTTTCCCCTATCAGACTGGTAAAACTTCAAAAGTGTGGGGCACCTGGGTGGCTCAGATGGTTAAGCGTCTGCCTTCGGCTCAGGTCATGATCCCAGGGTCCTGGGATCGAGTCCCACATCGGGCTCCCTGCTCCTTGGGAGCCTGCTTCTCCCTCTGCCTCTCTCTCTCTGTCTCTCATGAATAAATAAATAAAATCTTTAAAAAAAAAACCAAAAAAAAACCTTCAGAAGTGTGATAATGTCCGGTGCTCGCGGGGCTGTGGGGACATTGTGGTGCTGTCCCAGGGGAAGGCCCACTGACACAGGACACCAGAGTAACAAACACTTGGGCTTGCTGACCCAGCAGCGCACTTCTGGGATGCTCTTGCATAATTCACATTTACAAAATGAGAAGGGCAGCAGGGGCGTGAACTAACTCGTGAGTGGATAAACAAAATGCGGTGCATCCATACAGCGCGATGTTCCTCAGCCATAAAGAGGAACGAAGCCCTCACACACGCTACATCATGGATGAACTTTGAAAACATGATGCTGAGTGAGAGAAGCCAGACACAAAAGACCACGTAACCTGTGATTCCATTAGATAGGAAACGTCCAGAACAGGCAAATCCATGGAGACAGAAAGCGGGGTGGTTGCCAGGGGCTGGGGGTGGGGGGCCGAGGGGGAGGGCCTGCTCATGGGGACGGGGTTTCCATTTGGGACAATGGAAATGTTCTGGAACTAGATGTTGGTGGTCCTTGCAAAACACTAGAAATGTACTAAAAAAAAAAAAACCCTGACTTGTTCACTATAAAATGACTAAAATGGTAAATTTTATGTTAAGTGTGTTTTGAACCATTTAAAGAAAGAGGGAAGGCAAAAAGATGGCAGAGCTAAGAGATGATTCACTGCAGCGTTGTTATACAGGGTGGAAAAAAGGAAGCAACCTAAAGGGTTGGTTAGATGAATAACAGCTCATCCATCCTGGGGGGGTGGGGGGTGGCTCAGAGTCATAAAAACAAAATGATAGAGCTCTGTGAACCAATAAGGAAAGACTCATTCATCTTTTTCCACAAAGCTTTACAAAGAGCCTACGGTGTGCCGGGCACTGGTCTAGGAGCTGTGCATACGGCCCTGAACAAAACAGACAAAATCCCTGTCCTCATGGGCTTCTTGTAGCAGTTGGAGAGACCAGCGACGTGCGGGATCTACCAGGAAAATATGAGACGGGTGGAAGAAGCAGAGGAAAATAAAATCGAGAAGCAAGCAGGGAAGGTGGCAACTCTTTTTTTTTTTTTAAGATTTATTTATTTATTTGAGAGAGCGAGAATCAGAGAGAGAGAGAGTACATGAGAGGGGGGAGGGTTAGAGGGAGAAGCAGGCTCCTCGCCGAGCAGGGAGCCCGATGCGGGACTCGATCCCAGGACTCCAGGATCATGACCTGAATCGAAGGCAGTCGCTTAACCGACTGAGCCACCCAGGCGCCCCTAAGATTTTATTTATTTAGGGGCGCCTGGGTGGCTCAGTCGGTTAAGCACCTGCCCTCGGCTCAGGTCACGATTCCAGGGTCCTGGGATTGAGCCCCGGTCGATCTGCTTCTTCCTCTCACTCTCCCTCTGTGCTCTTTCTTTCTCTCAGATAAATAAAATCTAAAAAAAAAAAAAAAGGCCAAAAAATAAACTCCTAGATTTCAATTGGCTAAAGAAACTTTGGATGAAACATGAAAAACGAAAATTCACGGATACCTCTTAGCATCAGGCAGATGGGAGGGAGAACCTCCCCACGTATGTTTTTCAGTGAAAACATGGGCCTCAGCCAACAAGCACACATAAAGACGGGCCTTCGGCATAAGAGGGGCAGCTGGCCTCAGGCCCAGGTGTGGGTGGATGTCCCCCATGCCCCACACCCTGGGAGGAGTCGGCAGCATCCAGCACGAAGCCCTCTTACAACAGGAGGAAATGAGGAAGTGTGTGTGTTTGGGGCGGAGGGAGGCAGGCTTGGGGCCTGGGATAGTGGGGTCTGGAGGTGGGTCTGGGGGACCTGCGGGACCTGCAGTCTAGACCATTTAGTGGGGTCTGGAGTTTGGGAGGCCTAGGTCCCAGGGCTTGGGGGTCTAGAAATTCCTGGCATTTGGGGAGGTCCTGGGTTCTGGAGCATGCCAGGGGTCTGATGGGCCTGGGGCCTGGGGGACCTGGGGTCTGGGCCGTGTTGCTGCTGCCCCAGCAGGTGGTGACCAGGCTATGGGAAGCAGGGCAGCTCTGGGCTCCACTGCCTGAGGGGAACCGGAATCTTCCAGAGGGCCCACCTCCATACTCCACCTCCTCCCCTCCTGACATGCCCAGAGCCTGGGTCTGAAACAAGCCTCAATGCCAGGCAGGGCCAGTCTCTCAGCACAGAGACTTCCAGAGGTCCTTAGGGACACCTAAAGACCTTCAGAAATCCCCAGAGATACCTAGAACAGCTCAGAATCCCCAAGACCCCAGGGTACTCAGAGACCTGTAGAGACCTTCAGAGACCCCTCCAAAATAGCCAGGAAAACACAGAGATCTCCCACAAAGACAAAGGTAGAGATATATACAGTTTCCCTGGGACAACCCAGACCCAGGGCCACCAATCTGTGGCCCCCTCAATTTAGCCGTATTTGCCTCACACCTTCTGACCCCCATGTAGCCACCTGTGCTGGTGGAGGCCTCAGCCTGGGCCCTGCCCCCAGTATGCCCGAGACTGGGGAGCTGAAGTGGGATCAAGGGTTTGCCCTCCCCCCCATCCACCTCCCATCCAGCTCCTGGGCTCTCACACTTGTCCCAAATCTGCCCTTCTCTCGAGCCCTGTGCTCCCTGGGGCCAGGCCCCCAAACCTCTGGCCCCAGCCCCTGTCCTGCCATTTCCATTCCCATTTGTTCAAAGTGCAGCCTTTGAATGCCAGACTTCCTTCCCCCCACATCCCTCAGGGTCTGGCTGCCCCCTTAGGGGCCTGTCTCACCTGAGGGAGGGCGGAGGCCACCCAGGAGGCCCAACCCAGCAGCTGAGGCTATCTAGAGGCCCGGGGATCTTAAGGTGTCTGAGGGGCTCTGGAGCCAGCAGGGCAGGACCTGGGGCAGGTGTGAGAACCCAGGGCTGGGCTGGGGCAGCAGAACTGACTCAGGGGCCAACTGTGGACAGACAGGGCAACCGCAGATCAGGCATGCATCCAGCAAACAACGACTGAGGTCGGCTTGACCACTTCACGGCCGTGTGACCCAGGGCCAGTGCCTTAATCTCTCTCCGCCTCCGCCTCCGCCTCCTCCCCCCTAAAAGACAGACAGTGAAAACCACCCTGTGGGGTGGCAAGGGCCGAGAAGCAGATGTGAACGTGAGCGTGTGCCTGGCACGGGGGGACATAGGCGACTTAGGACGCAGGCTGAGTGTCCCATGGAGGAAGGGGAGTGCTACATGAGGGCCCATCGATGCACCAAAATCGAATTCATAAGGTTAAAGCTGGATTTTTAATGATGCGGAAAGAGCCTGTTTGAGGTCACGTGGCCACGCCGGTTATAGTAAAATTTGAGAAGCCACTGACCGCTCTTGTCGGGGGTGGGGGAGCAAACAAAACGTGGCACCGAGGCGGCTGCGGTCAGCGAGCACCGTCCACCTGCTCGCTGCTTAGCCGAGGGCTGCTCCGGCAGTGGGAGGCCACCCTGCTGGCCCACAGGGCTCTCCTGGGGACAGCCCTCAACCACAAGACGAAGGCGAGCTGATCAGAAATGCCTCAGCTCCCCACCACCTCCGGTATCTCCGAGGCGGGCTCCGGGCTGTCGCCCCGAGGACCCCCTGGGAAACCGGCTCCTGGGAGCCTGCTGGTTGGCGCCCCCTGCAGGGCTCCTTCTCTGTCCTCGCGGCCCGGACCAGGGGCTTCCGGGAACAACCTCCCAAACAGTGAAGTTCCCCAAATCTGTTCTTAGGGCCTGCTTCTCAGGGACCCCAAATTAAGATAGGTGGAGTGATTGGGACACCTGGCTGGCTCAGTGGGTAGAGCATGCAACTCTTTTTTTTTTTTTTTTTTGAAAGAGAGAGCCCAGGAGCAAGTGAGGGGAGGCACAGAGGGAGAGAGAGAATCCTGATGCAGACTTCCAGAGTTCACTCTGAGCACGGAGTCCAACGTGGAACTCCATCCCCAGAACCCTGAGATCATGACCTGAGCCAAAATCAAGAGCCCACCGCATAATCAATCAACTGAGCTACCGAGGTGCCCAGGAGCATGCAACTCTTGATCTCGGGGTTGTGAGTTCAAGCCCCACATTGGGTGTAGAGATTTTTTAAAATAAATAAAAAATAAACTTAAAAAAGAGAGATGTAATCTTCACGATAACCCCTTGAGATAGGAACTGTCATTACCAGTTCATTGGAACTGATAAGACCCCTCCCCCACTTTACAGACAGGGAAACTAAGGCATGGTGTGTTTGAGTAGCTTGCCCAAGGCGCAACAGCAACCGAGGGTCAACCACAGAAACTGTGTGGTTGACCATTAGGGTA